TGATTGAAGCCTAGCATATATTTTGAATTAAGACCCATATCACTAGCATAATGTAGTGGTTAAGTATATAGTCTCTGCAGTTGGGCTTATCTGTTTTAAAATATATGCTCTACTATATGTCTAGCTGTATAATCTAGGGCAATTTCTCTGAACAACATCAGTTTTTGGATGTATAATAGGAGAATACACACTTTTCTAGGATATTGTTGAGAGTAAATGAGATACTGTGTATAAAGTTCTTAGCACAGTGCCTTAAATATATTAAGCACTATACTGGTGGCATGGTGATTATTGTAGTTAATACTAATAATTGTAATAATTATAAAAATTCTGCATAGATTTTAGTTTTCTTAGAGTAGGGGGAGCATACAATTGTTTCACCAGCAGTTCAGTGGGTACAGATTAGAACAGCACATAAGGGAGACATGGAAGAGGACATAGTCTCTGATAAACTTTATTATAATGCATTCTAACCTATTAGATTGTCCCATTGCATAATACATTCCATCATGACTCCATTATGAAATAAATTGTACTCCACATAGAATAATAAGCAACAGCCAGACTTTGTATCAGATAGTAAAAAGACATTCTAACAGATCTTCTTTGAGCATATAGATAATAACAGCCACCACTCACTGAGGTCTTAAGTGTATTATTCTAAAATGCCATATATACATTATCTTATTTAATCCTCACAACAGCCCTGTGAGTTAACCATTATCATTCCAATTTTATACATGAACCTTTTGAGGTTATCAAAGGTTAGATAACTTATCTGAGGTCCCACAGCCAGTCAGAGGTGGAACCAGAATTGAAACTCATGTCTGTCACATTCTGTCTTTTATCTATACCAGGGGTTAGCAAACTTTCTCTGTAAAGGCCAGTTAGTAAATATTGTAGGCTTTGCAGTTTTGCAACTACTCAACTTGCTGTGGTACTGCAAGAGCAGCCATAGACATTATGTCAACGCAGGTGGGCACAGCTGAAATAAAACTTTATTTACAAAAAAATATGTATTAGTGTTTGCTAATCTCTGCTCTCAATCACTACAGCAGGTTCTAAAACCCTTTTGGTCTCATGACTCTTGTTAATGTGGGTTATATTGTTACCCACACAGTGGTGAGTTCAATCACTTGATGGGTGTTAACCCAATGACCACTACCAAAGAAGATTTACTTTTTTATTTTTATTTTTTTTGAGACAGAATCTCACTCTGTCTCCCAGGCTGGAGTGCAATGGTGCAATCTCTCTTCACTGCAGCCTCCGCCTCCCTGGTTCAAGAGATTTTCCTGCCTCACCCT